GCAGGAATCACTCACTTCATGCTACACAGCGCACGTATCCCGTGATGATCCGTGACCACCTGGCAAGAGGAGTCTCCAGGGACTCTCTCCCCCAGCACCAACTGCCTGTTGGAGCATTTAACAGGACCTGGGGTTGGGAGGAGAGACTCAGAGAGGCATGAAATGGTTTGGGCTGGAAAGACCTTAAAGCTCATCTCATTCCACCAGGAGAAACCTTCCACTAGCCCAGGTTGCTCCAAGCCCCATCCAACCCGGCCTGGAACACTTCCAGGGATGGGGCAGCCACAGCTTCTCTGGGTAATTTTGGCCCTGGTTTCAGTGCCCAGGAGGATCAGGGTTCAGGACCAGCCTGAGAAGCTCAATCTCAGCACCCAGGAAGAAACAGAGATGCAAGATGACCAGTCCTTGCACTCAGAATGGTTGGAAGGGACCGCTGGAGGTCATCTAAGTCAAACCTCCCTGCTCAAGCAGAGTTCCTTAGAGCACATTACTCAGGATTGCATCCAGACAGCTTTGCTCTGTCACAGGGGAGACACCTTGGACACCCCAAGGGTGCTGAGCACCAAATCCCTCCCAAACTGCTCACACCAAGGGTCACCACCAGCAATGCACACCATGGGCACTGGGGCACACGGGGACCCACCACAAACTGCACCTGAACTCTACAGAGAATCAATGCAGAGTTTTATTAAAAACCAGCTCTTGGCATTGACACCTCAATCCCAGATGAGTTCTTAACGAGAAAAACTCATCAGTGCAACAACGCGAAGCAGAATGGAGCTCCCCAAGGCCCTCAGCGAGGCCAGGAGCAGCTCCATGCCTGCACCCCCTCCCTCCTGCCTGCGCTTTTCCCATGGCCCTGGAGCAGCAAGTTCAGCCTATCTGCAAACATTTCCAGCCTGCCTCTGAGTTCTTCAGAACTGAAGAAAACAGGAAATGATTCAACTGACCCAAGAAGGTCAGAGCTGAGTGACCTCAAAGGACATACGGAGCTGTGTGCGGTAGGATCACCGGGCACGTGCCACAAGCCCAGGGGAACGTATCCTGAAGCACAAAAATGCAGCTGGGATCACCTATTTGGGTTCTAAAAGGACCTTTTAAAACCATTTTCCCCTTGTTTAATTTTTACAGGGTCAGAACAGTATGAAAACACCGAGGAAATCACCCAAAGATGCTGTAAGTGCTGCCCCAGCCTGAGATCCCCAGGGGACACCCCAGCAGGGTCAGTCCCTCCTCCTCCAGGGATCCCCTAGGACCACCAGCGAAATCAAATGACTCAATAAACCATAGAATCATCGAATTTTAGGGGTTGGAATGGAGCTTAGAGATCATCCAGCCCTAACCCTCTGCCCTGGGCAGGGACACCTCCCACCAGAGCAGGTTGCTCAAGGCTCATCCAACCTGGCTGTGAACATTGCCAGGGCTGGGGCAGCCACAGCCTCCCTGGCAACCTGGGCCAGTGTCTCACCACCCTAAATGAACCACACCAGGAACAGCTTTCCTGTAGGATCACCTTGGCTCTGAGGGTGATGCCCAGTGCCATGTCCTATGTGGGTCTGTGCTGCTTTCACTGCAAAAAACATCTTGGCTTTAAGATCCTTAACTGGGATGAATTTCAAGATATTTCTGTTTGAATATATATGTATGTATAAAATAATGCCCCTGGGGGATCCCAATGAGCCCAGGGGTGTCCCTGGGGGACCCTGGTGAGCTGGGAGGTGTCTCTTGAAGACCCTGGTGAGCCAAGGGGTGACCCCAATGACCTAAGTGGTGTCTCTGGAGGACCCCAATAAGTCCAGGGGTTGGGACCATCTGTTGGGAGCAGAAATCCTTAGGCAAAACTGCTTATCCTCCTGCAGAGCTGATCCAGGGCTTGACTGGGCTCTTAACCCTCCCAACCAACACAATCCTTGGCCATTGGAAAAAGCAGGTCCTGGGGCTGAGCTCTGCAAAGCTCCTCTCTGGGATTAAGCAGGGGCTGATGCTCCCCTCAGTGCCCCCCTGCTCACACCCCCCTAACGTGGAGCCTCTCCCGCCAGCTCTGCTCTGTTTTCCTCTCACCCTGTGCCAGCATTTCCCTGCTTGTGTTCTGGGAAGAGACTTCCTAAGGTCCCAGGGGGATTTGGCCTTTGTGAAACCCAAGCTCTGCCACAAAGCATTCCCTAGAACTGCAGCACATTATCTGGGCTTCCCAGGATCCTGCCTGCAGAAATACTCTGCTCCTGCTCCAGAGGAGGCTTCGCTGCCTCTCACACGCCGAGGCCATGAGAGCCAATTTGGATTGAGTTACATCCACATGGATGCTGGAAAGCCACAGAAATTAACTCTACTTTTTGTCTGGTTGCTTGCAAAATAATTGCAAATCGAAGCTTCTTTCCTTTCCTAGAAATCGACCTCCAGTGCCCCTTATTTCCTACACTGAACTAATGGAATGGCACAAGAATGGCAGGGCACACTCCAATCACAACCCTCTCCCTGCCCATCCACAGGTGTGTGCACAGGTAAATCCTGTCTGGATGATAAACTGCACTTCCACACTGTCCCTGGAGCTGCTGCTTGAGGCAAACCATGGGCACTTCAGAAGGGAAAAGGTTTGGGAAGTGCTGTTCAAGCTGCTCCATTAAAACATGCCCAAACAAGACATTAAATAACAATGAAAGGCTTGCAGTAAAATTAAAACACAAACTATTTGGGTGTTGCCAACTCTCACAATCTCATGGCAACTCTTGCAGCAGTTGAGTTTTCATTTCCCTTAGAGTTTCCAGTGCTGCTGGTGGGAGTTGAGATCCCCTAGGGACATGTCTTGGCTCACCAGGATCACCTGGGGACACCCTTTGATGTACTGAGGTCTTCCAGAAACACCCATCAGCTCACCAGGGTCCTCCAGAGCTACACCTCAGGTCATCAGGGTCATCCCTAGGCTCACTGGGTCCTCCAAGGACACCCCCCAGCTCACCAGGGTCCCTCACAGACAACCCTAGCCTCATTAGAGTCCTCCAGGGACACCCCCCAGCTCACCAGAGTTCTCCAGAGACACACCTTAGGTCATCAGGGTCAACCCCTGGCTCACCAGTGTCCCTCACAGACATCTCTGGACTCATTGGGGTCCTCCAAAGACAGCCCTTAGCTCACCAGTGCTCCCCAGAGACACCCCTGGGCTCACTGGGGTCCCTCAGGGACATCTCTTGGCTCACCAGGATGGCACAACAGAGGTTTTGTGCCACCTCCTGCAGGTCCCTGCAGTGACCATTCCCATTTCATACAC